CAGCTCTGACGCTCACGTAATGGGTGTGCCGAAAGTAGGTGTGACATCGGAGTTGTGACAGGTACAAATGTGGAACACTTGAGGAGGACAAAAGTCGTGCTGGAGGATGCGTGTGGTGAGTGCTGAGCGGTTGTTTCGTCCTTGATTCGCTTATCATCATTGCGTTAGTTGCTACTACACGTAGTCGTGATTTTCCTTCTCTCCAATTCGTTCGTGCTTCACTCGTGGTTTGATGTCTCCGTTGTTACGTTGTCGATGCGTCTTTTCTACTCTCCCTCCTGAGCCTTCACTTCTACGCCATTCATTCGTAATGGCAATAACAACTCTCGCTGTGGGTCGGTCTGTTTGACAACCTCAGTCGCATCACTCGTGTGTCCTTCTCATACTGCTCGGTGGTGCAGGTGCGCATTTCCTTCACTCGTAGTCGTGATTTGCAAGTTTGATGTGTGTTAAAAAAGGTGGAAGGCACTGTGTCACGACCATTGGTCTGCTTTTCGCGTCAGTCAACTTTCTTTAATCAGATCCCCGCTACATTATGTCGAATGAACAGTACTGTCACTGCGTGTAAGTGAGATGCACGAGTAACAACAACACCCATCTTCTCTACTCTCCCTCTTGAGCCTTCACTTCTACGCCATTCAGTCGTAATGGCAATGGCGTGAGACGGTGTTGGGCTGTCAGCATGTGCTGCAGCAGCGCCTCGTGGTCAATCACTCGCGTGTGTAAGTGAAGTGATAGAGGAGGAGGAGGAGGAGGATGATGAGTATGAGAACGAGGACGACGAGATCACCTGACCATTGGAGCAGGTCCTCCACTTCCATCCAGAGGTAGCGAATATCCAAAAGCACGTCACTGTTTGAAAGTGAATAGCATCACGCCAGCAGAATTTTCCTTTCAGTTTCGCCATCTTCTTCTTAGTGGGTAGGCGGAGAAGGGGGAAGGAAAGGTGGTGGAGTCGGTGGAGGAGGAGGAGGAAAGTTGACAAAAAGCGTGTCCATTGGCAATTGCATGCACCATCAGAGGAGTGTCCAAGCACACTCCACA